ACCGACTCATGGCGGTAAGTCTTGACCATACAATCAATGATGCCCTGGTATGTGGTCTGGGTCTGCAGCCGCACCTGGACAGGGAGGACAGAGCAGGGTGGTAGGCTAGGCATCCAGCCAGCTCATCCCTCTGCCCCCCTGAGTGGGATGCCAGCCAAGAAATAGACATGGGAAGAGCCTCTGTCAGCCAGGCCCTGCCCTCAGGGCACTCTGATGTCTGGTTCAGGCAACGCGTTTCATTCCTTGGGTGCCTCCCCTAGACTCACCTTTACAGTGTCAAAGGGGTGTCCCAGGACCAAGCCCAGAGCTCCTGTGGTGACAAAAAGGTACCATGAGTGAGGCTCCTCAGGCCAGTCTAAGGAAGCAAATCTGCCCAGAGGGGAGCGGGATTCAGGTAGGAGGAAGGGGGGCCTTCCTGCCAGGCTCCAAAGAAATGCCAGCTGATCCCCTTGCAGGCTCCTCCAGGCCAGGCTAAGGAGGTGTGGGAACAAGGAGTCAGTGGAGAGAGCCCTGGCCCTCCCTGGAGGACGCACATGCAGAGAGGAGGAGCCAACCACAGAAGCACCGTGTCCGCGCCGGGACCTGATACCTGAGCATCTTGCTGACTTATCTAACCGTGTGGCCCTAGTGCTCCTGCTCCTGGCCTGCTCTTCTCCTTCCTACCTTCAGCTCACAGCTGCTGCGCAGGGCTTCCATCCAGGCGCTGCCCTCCTCGTGCTCTGCCCCGCAGCCGGCCGTGCAGAGCTGGGGGCCCTCAGGGGAGTCTCACTGGCCCCAGGGGAGGAGGGCCCACCTCCTGGTCTTGCCCTACACAGCAGATGCTGGTCCTGAAGCTTTGGGTGAGGTCACAGCCCTGGGAAGCAGGTTGGGAGTGTCTCTTTCCCCAAAGAGAAATGTCACCCAGAAGTTGAGCTGGGTCCACAGCACAACCGCCTCAGGGCATGCAGCCCATTGCCAGCTAGGGCACAGTCCCAAAGGGGAAGGCAGGACAGCAGGTGAGGTCAAAGGTGAACTTCCTGTCCGAGCTGCAGAGAGTGGCGCTGGCGGTGCAGGCGCTGCAGGTGGGCCTGGGTGGGTGCTCACCTTGGCTCCACTCTGGGCAGTAGCACCCACCCACCCGCACCTTCCTTTCCTCCCCACAGGCAACTCCCAGGAGGCTCTGGGAGGTCCAGGGCCACCGGGACTTTAGCTTCAGCTTCTCCTTTGTCACCCACCTTCTCCAGGAAGTGATCCCTAATTGGGGTTGATGTGACAGAAGGAAGAAAAATGTCTCACCGGAGATCCAGCCGGCCACAAACTCCTCCACAGGCATTGTCTGGCAGAGGCGGGCGCTGGTGGCTCCAGCAGAGGAGACGCTGGTGAAAGTGTAATTCCACCCCCCCCCCCTACAGCCCCGGGACTGATAATCTGCTACTAAGTTTAACCCTGGGTGAAGGCCCGGTGCCAAGGCCTCGGGCACCAGGACACAGAATCAGTCAACTTAAGTGGCCTGGTGGGCTGGAGACCTGCAGAGTATGAAATCTCAAGGGGCAGGGAGGGTGGCCCACGGTGGCCTGACCCCCCCCGCCAGCCAGCAACAGCCTTGCAGCGTGACCAGGGCCACAGCTGGGCCCAGGCCCCGGTCGGGCCCCTCCAGGGCTTCTTCAGTCAGCAAGGGTTGAAGGAGCCTACTCAGGGCCAGGCCCTGCCTGCCCGGCCCAAGCTCCCATTCGTCCCCACAGCACCACACGGGCAGGGGCAGGCAGCCCCCTCACCCCAGGACGGCTGCAAGGCCAGCGGAGGTTGGGCCCGGCCATCAGGGGGCAGGTCCAGCCCGAGGCAGCCAGGCGCAGCCAGGCGCCCAGGCCTGGGATGGGAAGAAGGAAGAAGAGGAGAGGAGTGACTCACCAGGGCCGGAAGCTCGTCTTCTCCCGGGGTTGTTTATGACTGACTCTCCCGCGCCTGTCATAAACAGCCTCTTTTTCTGCCTCCTCCTCTCCTTGCCTCTTTCCCAGGGGAAAGCTGGGACTTGGTGTATAAAGGGTGGTGTGTCTCTGCTGCGGGGTGACCGGGCTATGACTGCTCGTTTCTCTTTGGACAACAACCCAAGCTGACGGGGCAGGGACCCGAACCGCTCTCTTCCTCTCTGCTTCCTTCGACCAACTGTCGCTGCTGCCAGCCCATTAAACCTGCTATAGCATGAATGGTTATTCCACTTACCCTCTTGCTCTGTTCTGAGCAGAGGACGGTTAAGTACACTCACCCTTTGTTTTGAAAATGATATTTTGTATCATTTGAAAGTTTGTTACATCTTTTTATAAATCAGACTTTGCTCATGTGTTGTGTGTTGCACAAGTGTCTGGTACTTTCATTTTTCCTACTCTGTCATCTCTTTCTCCCTGCCTCAGAGGGGCCAGTGTACATGGAATGGAAACAGCGTGGGCTTTGGCCTCGTCTAAACCAGGCTCCATCTCAGCTCTGCCTCGGCCAGCTGTGTGATCTGCGGCCAGGCCCGCGCTTTCTGAGGCTCTTTGCTTTCACATTATTTGGGAGGTTCTGGAGGTCATCAGAGGAGGTTTCCAGGTGTTGATGTTGTCGACGAAAGCAATCAACAAACATTCTATCATAGAGATAAAAACAAGTTTTATTTGAGCCAAACTGAGACTGTACCCTGGAAGACAGCCTCTCAGATAACTGTGGAACTGCTCTGGAGAAGCAAGGTTTTCAGCACAGTTTTATATCTTGTCAGAACAAAGAACATCAAACAAGTCAAGAATACATTCCTTCAAGTTTAAAGAAAAACAGATCAGCATGTACACTGTGAGTTAGTGTGGCCTTGGTACCTGGGAGGAGAGTCTTATCACCAAAGGGGCACTGGCATTGGCGTCCCAGGAAGGGAGGCATTTGGTCTTTATTTGCAATGTAGAGATTCTTTACTTCTGGTCAGTGCACCCTTTTTTGTAATAATTAAAGCAGATGTACAATATATGTTTGATAGGCTGTTCTAGTTAGCATAAAATTCAAATTAACTCATGTATAAGCCAGAATGACTTCCCCATACCTCAATATGTGAAAATTTCTTTAATCAGTGTCCACGTTCAGGATCACATCCTCCAGGGCCACATTTCTGACTTTTTCTGTTAAACTCATGTGGATTCCTTTGAGGTAAGGCCCAAAGGACGGCAGCAGTGGGGACGTGGAGGCAGGCTAGGCTGCACTCATGCTACCAGAAGGTGGGGCAGAGCATGGAAGCAGACCTGTGGCTGCAGACAAAGTGCCGACTGCAAGGTGGGCTGCAAACAAGGAGGAAGGGGGCGTTAGGAGAGCCTGGTGGCACAGATGTAACCCGTTCTTGACATCAACAGCCATAAATATACTGTCAGATTTCTATTCTCAGGAATGCTGGGAAGTGGGGGCTTGGCGGTGGGGGTTGAGAAGGAGAGGTTCTTCTTTTAAGGGCAGGGAGATCCAGGGCTCAGGCGCCATTGCCCAGAGAAAGCTGTGAAAGCCCCAGACTTGGCGCCAACCCCTGGAGTCACCTTGATCCCTCCCTTCCCTCCACCTCACCATTCCATGAGGTCCAGCCCGTGTTACTATTACTTTCAAGACAGATCCTGAGTCCGCCCCCTCCTCACTTCCTCCACTGCTACTGTCCTGACCCAAAGCCACTGTCACCTCCACTTGGATTCCTGTCCCCAGCTGGCCTCCCTGCCCCTCTGCCATCTTCCGGTCTGTTCTCCACAGCAACCAGACGATGTGGTTGAAATGTAAGTCAGACCCTCTCTCTTCCCTACTCCACACCCTGCAATCCTGTTTAGAGTCAAAACCAAAGCCTTCCTAGGCTCTGGTGCCCTCGAGGTGTCCCCGTAGCCTCTGACCTCCTTCTCTTCTTCCTGCCTGCTGGTGGCCTCCTCTGGCCTGGGCTCCAACGTCACCCACGCAGTGAGCCCTCCCTAACAGGCTCACTGAATTTTGCCATCTGCCCCACCCGCCCAGCATTGCTGGTGCCCCTTCCCTGGCCCAACCTTGTCTTTCACTCATCAACTTCTGACACATTGTGCAATTAATGTTGTCTGGGCAGGGATCTCTGGCTGTTTTGTTCACTGATGTTATTTTGAAGGCTTAGAATAGCATGTGGCACAGAGTAGGCACTCAATGGATACTCACTGAAGGAATGAATGAGTGGACGAGTCAGGGAGCAGCATTAGTGGGCCACCCGGCAGCTGTCCCTGGGTCTCCAGTTCTCTTTCCCCATCTCCAAAGGGCCCCAAAGAACATGAAGTTCCCCAAATACCCCAGCCTGCCCCTCCAGATCTCATTGCTGCTTTTAAGTTTCCCATCAGATGCCCAACGACGAGTCCTGCTGATCCTTCTCTCCCACTGCTGCCAAAGCAGCACACACCCACCCACTCGTGGGTGGACAGGCTCTAAGAAGCAGGGTTCATCTCTGACTCCCTCCCCCTGGAGCTGCCTTGAAGACCTTCC